TCTCCAGGAGTGGGTTCTGTTCCAGGTTTCAAGGGTGTCAAAGGCCATAGTCTCGGGGGTTCTGCCAGTCTCTATCAGATCAGTAAGTCTGGTATTTTTTTATAAATCTGAAATTTGTTCTACATTTTTCTCCCACTCTGTCCAGGACCTTCTATCATGATCCCAGTCGGCTATGCTGGCCAGTCATCATCTAGTTCTTCTGGTCTCACACTAGTGAAGGCTGTGATTCTTATGGTCGATTAGTCCTCTGGACTAGTTGTTTCCTTTAGACTTTGACTTCCTTCACTCTTCTTTGCTCCGGACAGGAAGTGAACAATGATTGCTGTCAACTCACAAGCTTTTAAGACCACAGACTCTACTCACCAAAGTAAGATGCAGAATATTGTCTTTACGGACTATGCCAACTGACCTAGATGTCCTCCGAGTCTATGGTCCTAAGCCCTCAAGGTGTTTGATTATGGCTAAGAAATTTTCTTAACTTTGCGCCTTGTATGCTCTACTATATACGTGGATATATTTGCAGCACATACAAATACATATGTAGAAGTCATCTTCTGCCAAACCTACATATGCTGGTGGGTATATTCCCATACACCATCTCACACCTGTTCAGCTTACATATCTACCTATGTATCCACCCTTTTTTTTTCCCACTCTTAAATTATTGTTTGTTATTACTGTGATTGTAGAATTGTATATGTAATAGCATTTACAGTTGTTTCCTTTTACTCTTGCATTCCTTCCAGTGTCTTCCTTTGTCTTGGTCCTGTTGTGCTGACATACCCCTTTGGATTGCTTCTCCCTTCACCCAAGTTAATACTTGTCTACTATCTAGTTAGTGATTTTCCCTTCCTCCCCCTCCCATCCCTGGTAACCATCAAAGAATGTTTCTTTCTGTGTAAACCTTTTCTTGACTTTTTATAATAGTGTCTCATACTATATTTGCCCTTTTGTGATTGACTTATTTCACTCAGCATAATGTCCTCCAGGTTCATCCATGTTGTGAGATGTTTCACAGATTCATTGTTATTCTTTAATGTTGAGTAGTACTGTATCATGTGTACATACCACAATGATTTTCAAATGTTAAGCCAATCTTGCACTCCTGGAATAAATGCAACGTGGTCTTGATGTATTAGTCTTTTCCTCTATCAACAGATTCAGTTTGCTAACCTTTTTTTTAGATATCTGCACCTAAATTCATGAGAAAGATTGGCTTATCATTTTTCTTACAATCTTCTTGTAGGTTTTGGGTATCATGGTTATGCTACCTGCATAAAATGAGTTGGGAAGTATTATCTTTGTGTCTATTCCTGTGTGAATGTGAGACTGGTTTTATTTCTTCCTTAGATTTTTGAAAGAATTCAAATTCTTGAGCTACTTTTAGGGAAGGGATGCATCTCTCCTGCTCAACACTGTGTACCCAGAGCCTAGGACCAGGAATAGATCCCTAGGTGGCACAAATCATTAAGCACTTGACTACTAGCTGAAAGGCTGGAACTCACCCAGATGCACCTTGGAAAACAGGCCTGGCAATGTACTTCCAAAAGGTCACAGCCTTGAAAACCCTATGGAGCAGTTCTACTCTGCACACATGGGCTCGCCGTGAGTCGGCGCGGACTTGACAGCAACTAACAACAACACTACCAGGGCTGACAGACAAGCAGTACCTTACTGGTGACAAAGGCAAAAAATATGACTTAAGGGGAACCAATAAAATCTCCCTCAGCAAAAACAGGATCTCAGGTTCTGAATTAACAACCCACCAAAACCAAATCCACTGCCACTGTGTCAGTCTGACTCACAGTGACCCTATAGGATGGGGAACTGCCCCATAGGGTTTCCAAGATTGTAAATCTTTACAGACGCAGACTGCCACATCTTTCTCCCTGCAGAGTGGCTGATGGGTTCGAACCACTGACCTTTTGGTTAGCAGCTGAGCGCTTTAACCACTGTGCCACCAGGGCTCCTGTATTAATAACAGGGCTCTGAAATAAAGGACAACCTGGCCTCAGGGCATACTGCTTCCCTCTTATTAGGTACACTTGAGGTCCAAAAACCCCTCCTTGACTTCCTTGAACACAGCACAGAAGGCAAGAGTGGCCCAACAGACTTAATAAACACCAAATGATAGCAGGAAAGGGACATAGGTCAAGAGGACATGGATTTTGTCAGTGAAGCTCAGTGGTTAGGAGAGCTCAGGCTCTGGAAGCTGCTGCTGGTTCTTTTCCAAGCTCTGCCTGCCACCTATGTGCTACATGACCTTCCACAGGTTACCTTCCTGTGCCTCAGTTTCCTCATCTCACAATGGGGGTAATCCCAGTGCCCACTTGATAAGGCTATTGTGAGGATTCCATGAGAAAAAGAATCAAAGAGTGTTTACTTTGCACAGAGACTGGCACATAATAAGCCCTTGACAGATGTACTTTGGTATGCTATCCACTAATAATAATAATAAAAGTATATGAGGACAAACCACAATTGGCTTGCCCTCCAGGGTTGCCATTCTATACCAAACCCAGGGGAACAGCTTTGGCTATATCACCAATCAGGCCATAAAAGAATGGAAAATAAGATCGGGTGACTTTGATGTCCAGCTCAGGAACCACTGCTGGGTCCGTATAAGGAAGAGATATGGCTGGTCATAGAAGTGACTGCAGGAACATGGGCATGGTCTGGGGTAGTGAAGGGAGACAGAGAAGGAATAAAAGTTGCCGAAGTGGCCCTGAAAACCCTAAAACAAAGAAAATGTATTTGGCAGCTCATCTGCATTTCAACATCCCTCCAGCTTACAGAGGCCTTTCCAAATTGGAACTGAAAGCCAAATTCTCAAAATTAACCAGAAGACAGCAAAATAAAATGATTCCACAAACATTAAGCAAAGAAGACATTGCTGGCAGTAGCCCATCCTTGGCTCAACAAAGAAAAACAGTTATTCAGAAGACTTGACTTAATTACTAGTTCTGTGAAGAAACACTCTGCAGCAAAGCCATGTTGGAGGATCCCAGTGGACACATATAGGGTGGGGAAAACACTGGAAACATCCATGACCTGACTTGGATAGAACTCCTGAATGGAGTTCTAACTTGAATATTTCCAGAAAAGACAAACACTCTGCTCTATCAGAATCAAAGTAAAGTGGGGTCTGATTTAAGGCAGGAGTCTCCTGATCACGTAGAACCCAGCAGTGCGCATGTGCACGGCAAATGGACGCTGTACAGTGTTGTTGTTATTAGTTGCCATCGAGTTGATTCTGACTCAGAGCAACCCGTGTGTGCAGAGTAGAACTGCTCCATGGGGTTTTCAAGGCTGTCACCTTTTGGAAGCAGATCAGCAGGCCTGTCTTCCGAGGCACCTTTGTGTGGGTCTGAGCCGCCAATTGTTCGGCTAGTAGTCGAGCACTTCACTGTTTGCACCACCTAGGGACACTAGTGAGAGGAAAATTAAAAGGAAATGCCACAGAGGGATAGGAATATCACTCATTACTCACCAAGGACAATCCGCAGTATAGGGCTCTGCTACAGAGCTTTAAACACATTTAATGAACTTTATTAATTAAGGATGAAAATAGGCCCAATTAAAAAGGAACCCGGGTTTGATTAACCTAGAGAGAGAAAGTTAAAGTATAGGAAACATTATAGGGTTAATGGTATCTACTCGATGATCCCACTACTGAAGGGCATGAAGGCAGCATTCTACTGAGAAAGGTCTCACACTGAAGTGCACTACCAAAGGATGCTGTGTAATTTTTCCTCTTTTTGAAGAAAAGGGCAGAACACTCTCTTTCTGGGATGGGAGTAAATGCAATTTACCCCCAGAAACATGAAATTAGACTAGAAATGAATGGCCTTCTTAAAGTCTTTCAGATTCATAATTCTTCCACAAGGACTACTATTCCAAGACATTTTCTAGACTGAATCTTGATTAGTCAAATTGTATTTTCATTCCTGACAATATGCAATGTTATGGATTGAACTGTATCCCCCAAAAATACGTGCTGGAGTCTTGACCCCTATATCTGTGAAAATAATCCTATTTGGAAATAGGGTTTTGTTATGTTAAGGAGGCCATATCAGTGTTGGATGGGTCCTAAACCTAATCACTTCTGGTGACATAAAGAGCAGCACAGGCACAGAGGTAAAGCAACACAAACAGGGAAAGACAGGCACTCTCTGATGATGACAGAGGCAGATGAACCGACAAGCCCAGGACCTCCAAGGATTGCCAGCTACTAGAAGCTGAAATAGACAAGGACCTTTCCCTACAGCCTCCTGAACCATGAGAAAATAAATTTCTGTTTTTTTAAGCCACCTACTTGTGGTATTTCTGTTACAACAGCACTAGATAACTAAGACATGCAGGTAAGCAAAGACCTAAGTCTGTGCTGTCCAATACAGCTGCCACTAGCCACATGTGGCTACTGAGCACTTGAAATGTGGCTGGTCCAAACTGAGATGTGCTGTAACTATAAATTACATACCAGATTTGGAAGGTTAAAAAACGAATGTAGAAAATCTCATTAACAATATTTTTATATTACGTGGTAAAATATAATATTTTAGATATACTGAGTTAAATAAAATATATTATTAAAATTAATTTCACCTGTTTCTTTTCACTCTTTTTAATGAGACTATTAGAAAGTTTTAAATGACACGCAGCTTGCATTTGTGGCTCACACTGTGTTTTTAGTGGATAGGACCAACCTAAGCAACTAAAGAAACAACACTATATCAGATGTGCTTCTGGGTTCCTAAACATTTCCAACTGCGATCAGAAGAATGAAGAACACTAAACAGTGTCAGGAGCATTCAGAGGACATGTGTTAAGTGCCACAGCAACAGAAGCAACAGCAGCTATTATGTCGTTTTAAGTAAGTAATAAACCTAAGCAATAAATTTTCTAGAAAAGGAGATGTTGCAACTGCAGATTCTCTTTCCCCCTGCCTGGAAGCGTCCCGGAGGCTGCCTTCCTGGGCATGAGCTCACTCTCCTGCTTACCTTTGATGAGCTCTGGCCTGTACGCCTTCCGCAGCTGCTCCAGGAAGCTGTTGTAGAAGCCCTCGGCCTGTTCCGTGGGCATGGCCAGGTGGAAGTCGGGCTTGTTCCCCTTGAGGACGCACTGGAGGGTGAACTGGCTGACACACAGCACCTCGTACTGTTTGTCCATCACACTCTTTGACCAGTGCTTCCCACTCTCGTCCTCAAACACGCGCAGGTTTAAAATCTTTCGGACCCTGCAATAAGAAACAGCAGTGAGAACTACCTGAAGAACGAGTCCCCACCACACCCTATATCCCCAAAGCAGCACTAGCATCCTGCCAAATAAGGACAGAATGCTGACTCTGTCACTTACAAGAGGTATGAATTTGGGCAAGTTACTTAACTACTCCATGCCTCAATTTCCTCATCTGTAATACAGGGGTAATAATAGTCCTATCTCATAGGGTTGTTTTCTGATCTCCTTCTTTTTTGCCAGTTCCTCCAAATCACAGGAGCTACTGGTGGGAACTAGGATAAAGAATACAACCACTCATTATCTGCTCCTTCAAGCTGGGGGTTATTTCAAACCATAGGTCAAATTCTAATTTTTTATGTTGTCGTTGTGGTTAGGTGCCATTGAGTTGGTTCGGACTCATAGTGACCCTATGTACAATAGAATGAAACATTGCCTGGTCCTGTGCCATCCTCACCATCATTGCTATGTTTGAGCCCACTGTTGAAGTCACTGTGTCAATCCATCTCATTGAGGGTCTTCCTCTTTTTCACTGATCCTCTACTTTACTAAGCATGATGTCCTTCTCCAGGGACTAGTCCCTCCTGATAAGATGTCCAAAGTATGTGAGACAAAATCTCACCATCCTCACTTCTAAGGAACATTCTGGCTGTACTTCTTCCAAGACAGATTTGTTTGTTCTTCTGGCAGTCCATGGTACATTCAATATTCTTCACCAACAGCATAATTCAAATGCATCATTTCTTCAGTACTCCTTATTCATTATCCAGCTTTTGAATGCATATGAGGCAACTGAAAATACCATGACTTCGGTCCTCAAGGTGACACCTTTGCTTTTTAATACTTTAAAGAGGTCTCTTACAACAGATTTGCCCAATGTAATAAATAATTTGATTTCTTGACTGCTGCTTCCATGCATGTTGATTGTAGATACAAGTAAAATGAAATCCTTGACAACTTCATTATTTCCTCCGTTTATCATGATGTTGTTTTTTGGTCCAGATGTGAGTATTTCTGCTTTCTTTATGTTAAGGTGTAATCCATAATGAAGGCTGTAGTCTTTGATCTTCATCAGTACAGAAAGTGCTTCAAGTCCTCTTCACTTTCAGCAAGTACAGTTGTGCCATCTGCATATCGCAGGTTGTTAATGAGTCTTCCTCCAATCCTGATGCCACATTATTCTTCATATAGTCCAGATTCTCTGATTATTTGCTCAACATACAAACCGAATAAGTATGGTTAAAGGATACAACCCTGCCACACACCTTTTCTAATTTTAAACCACGCAGTATCCCCTTGTTCTGTTCAAATGACTGCCTCTTAGTCTATGTACAGATTCCACGTGAGCACAATTAAGTGTTCTGGAATTCCCATTCTTTGCAATGTTATCCATAATTTGTTATGTTCCACACAGTTGAATGCCTTTGCATAGTTAATAAAACACAAGTAAACAACACTTTTATAGAATTTTTTATAGAAGAATTCAATCTTTACACTGGAATAAATGATACCTCATTTTACACACCTTCTTGGAGTTACTCAAAATACACAATTCAGCAAATACCCTGACAGAAAACCCATTGTTGTTGCAAATATGCAAAGGGATCTAGGGAAAGTTACCTTGACAACTATGTCACATGCTCCTTAAGCCTCAGAGGGGTTTGCCCTATACTGTGGATGACAAAGGAAGCCACTTGGGGAAGGAAGTGGACCAGGAAAGGTGTAGAGGGTCAGATTTGAGAAGCAAGGCAAAGAACCACCTACACGAAAGTTGAAATTCCACCACTGCAGAGCCACTCTTTCAGATGGTGTTGAAGATAAAGACAGTTAACACTTCCAGAGGGCTTCCTGTGGGCCAAAGTTCCAAAAGCTCTACAAATACTAATTCACGGAATCTTGTAGCAGTTACCCTAAGTGGTGGGTTTGTCTTATGTTGAGTCACATCTCTTAACCACCAAGTTAAGCGTCAGCTCTCTAGTATGTCAGGGCCATAAGAAGATGCAGACCCAAGCCCTGGTATTTTTTAAAATTTTTTTGTTTATTGTTGTAGTTTAAGTGATACTTTACATTTGAAGTTAGTCTCATACAAAAATTTATACATACAGTGTTATGGGACCCTAATTACTCTCCCTATACTGTGACAACACACTCCTCCTTTCCACCCCTGATTTCCCACATCCATTCAACCAGTTCCTGACCCTCTCTGCCTTCTCATCTCACCTCCGGACAAGAGCTGCTCTTAGTCTCATGCATCTACTTCAGCTAAGAAGCACACTCTTCACGAGTATCATTTTATGTCCCACAGTCCAGTCCAATCTTTGTCTGAAGAGTTGCCAAGCCCCAGTTTTTAAACACTATACCCCTTTACTGCCTCTTGAGTATCCAGGGAACAGATATTAAAATATCAACATCTGAAGTGTACTGAATTGTCACTACCAGTCATCAGCATCTTAGCAAGAATTAGGTCCTTAGTCTGGTTTTCACCCTAACGCAAAAGAGACAATAACAAAACAGTAAATGCTGATAGGAAAAGCCAAGACTGGGAAGGTTATACGCAGGCTCTGGGTATCAAAGAGCAAAATAAATAGATGTAAGCATCTGAAGTAAATGGGCCAAGTGGTGCTGGCAGGGAGGAGGGGGAACCATAAAAGAAGGATAGATCAACTGTACTAAGAGAGCCCATGAGGCAGTAGCAATGGCAACCTCCCCTAAGTTAATAAAAAGCACTGGTTTCAGGGTCAGATCACCCAGATTCTATTCAAGCTGAGGCTTTCTACCAAGTGTGCGTGCACGACTCTGGGCACGTAATGTAACCTCTCTGACCTCCAGGTCCTTAGGTGTACAGTGAACAACGGGTATTATAAAAACGCATAAATAGTGCCCAGATTATACCGCCCTAATAAAATTAAAAAACAGAAATCATATATAAGAAGAAAAGAGGCTCAGTGCTTGCATAAAGAGAAAAAGAGGCCTAGTTCACAATGTAGCAGCAAATCAGGGCAGTGGTGAAGTTATGCGTCTGCTCCATGGCTGAGCTAGTGGGTAACATACAGATTCCTCTTCCTCAGTCTCTAAACCACGGAGAAAATAATACTACATCGAATGGGACACTGATACAGCCACAAAATAATATGGAAATTCCCAGCGTGACCACTATGTGTACCATTCAAATAGCAATGACTTAGAAATCCACATCTTACATGTGCTCCAATTCTTTATGTGTATCCTCCAGAGAAACACCCAGCAACACACAGAGGCCCCGTCCAATGGCACTGATCTGCTCTCCTCCAACTAGAAGGAAACAAAAGGGGAAAAAGACTCAGAATCAAACAGATGCCATGAAGCACTTTTAAGTAATTGAAGGGAATGTTTTAAATATCCCACATACTTCTTGTGATTACTTTGGCTAAAGTCAGCAGGCATTCGAAAATGAAAAGAGTTTCACAAACACAGTGAGACGATCATAACTCATGTGCGTTCTGATTTTATATCTGGAGTAAATGGGAGCTGTGAAGTGCACAACAATTAAGCAGGACTTCAGGGCTACATTTTCATCTGTGTCTTCTTAAATAAGACACCTACAACTTCCTATGGTTGAGACTGCCCATCTGTACATACGGAACAGTGTTTCCTTCCCCTAGAGAAATCAGCAAAGCTGGTAACACAACACACAGAGAGCACAAATAGAAAAAATTCACACCAAAAAAAAAAGTATGATTTTCCTACTTACTGCAGAGAAGATGAGTAATTATACACAGAAACTATGATTTCTGTATTAAGCTTCAACTTAGCAAACTATTATTTCCCAGTTTAGTACTGAAGTTACATTCTAAGCCAATGATCTCCTGAGCTTTTTGAATCATGCATCTCATCCATAAAAAAATCTGGGCACACACCCCTAATGTTCTGTATTTATAATCAAATATATGTACTACTACTGTTAGACAATATCTCAAGCATTAGTAAAGTACATTTAGGGCAAAATTCATCATTATAATGGTGAACTGAAATCCACATCTGAAATGGTGCTCCTGATAACTTTCTCCTTTTTTGGGGGGGGCACCTTTTGTCAAATCTTATTAGATTATGGTTGTTTTATCCCACCATATGCTGACCTATGTTACAATCAGGAGTAAAAGGGTCAGTTCTGCCATTTTCTTGTTATTTGTTATATTTCTTATAGTTTTCTTGTTATTATGCTGGATAACACCAATAAATACACTTAGCCAGGCAACATGGGCTGTGCCATGTTGGAATGTACTGGCAGCCAAGGAAAGAGTGAGACACTCCTCTCTTCTTTCAGGTGACCACCTGACATTCACACTGGGGGGCACCAGTATCAATCCATTACTTGAATACCAGTAAAGAGGCTGAGCCAAGACAGTAGCTTAGTCACATGTACCATAATATCTCCATGCAGCAAAGACCCAAAAAACCAAGTGACACAGAAGCAGATAACAATCTAGGAACCCTGAACATCAAAAAAGAAGGTCTAAGAACTGAACTGAACACCAACTGGAAGGAAAAAGTGAATGATAGCAGCAAAAGAGGAGTAACATGGAACAGAGGAGCTCAGCCAGCCATCCCAGCCCAACAGAGCCATCTTAGGACAAAGCCAGCAGCAACCCCGGGTGAAAAAAACAGCAAGGCAACTTTATAACTTTCCCAAAAAGGACAGAGAAACTCTACAGACACACACGGGAAAAAGGACAGGCAAGGAGGGAGCCAGGATCCAGAACCATAGATGCCCAGGAGCAGCAGCTCCTGACCTCAGGGGTGAGTGGCACACGTGAGGCAGTGGACCTGCGGAGTGTTGGCGGTGGGAGGTCTCCTACCCACCCAGCCCCCAGGCGGCCCCCACTTCTCACACTTAAGAGTGGACAGGTCCCACTTGCTAGCTGCAGTGGGCACGAGGTGCCCCAGCACCCACATATCCTAGCTGGAGGGATGGACTTCTCCTCACCCCACCCTCCTGATCATAGGCAACAGAGGGTTCCACACCCCAACTGCCTTGCCTGACCAGGGGACCACAACAGGAGCCTATCCTCTTCCCCTCCACCCCACCCAACCCCATCCACTACTCCCCCTTGCCCAACTAATGAGCAAGACTAGGCATGTCCCCATGCACACCCCCACCCACCACCTACACCCCCAAATAAGGGCCCAGTGGGGGTCAGTGGCATCGAGACAGCAAGAGAGCCCACCCGCCAGTCCCTCTTCCTTCCTCCCCACCTGGCGAGGGACAGAGGAGACAAGACTGTATGCATACCCCTCTCCCGCCCCATCCCCCCTCCACCCACCTCACGTGAAGTGGCGGCATGGCCACTGTGCGCGCATCCACCAGGCACGACTCCCTCAACCCGCCCAATGAAGGGCAGAGAAGCCACAACTTCACGCGCATTCCCCCACAGCCCCTTCCTCCCTCTCCCTGCCTGGTGCGAGGTGGAGATGGTGCCACTGTGCACACATCCACCAGGCGTGACTCCCTCCCTTAACCCATCCAGTAAGGCACAGAGGAGTCGCAACTGCGCACACATCTCCCACAGGCCCTTTCCTCCCTCCTCCTGCCAGTGCACAGTAGATGCAGAACAAGCGTGCATACATCCGCTCACTGCACCTTCCTCCCTCTTCTCACCACCAACAGGCAGATGCGGCATGACTGAGAAAGCATCCACCTGCCACTCCTTCCTGTCCCCCCGAGGAGGAGGTAGAGGTAGACTGACTGCACGTGCATTGGTCCATCATTCTCTCTCTACCACCCACACCTCCCCCCCCAACCGAAAAGAGGTGACGACCACGCCACCACTCACCTGCCACACCCATCACACCGGCCCTTCTACCTGCAAAGAGAGCACCACTGCCCACTCCTGTGAAACTGAACCAAGGACAGACAGAGGCCAAAGCCCAACCAACCCACCCTCAGCTGCCTGTCAAGACCAGTAAGCAGAGATCTGATCACCTATACCTCCTGCCACCCCACTTGCCTGGAGAAAAGTATGGAGTGCCCCAGCAGGGCCAATCCAGCAACCAGAGCACCGTGCCAGCCACGACTGCCAGGAATCAGCAAAACGAAAAAACAGGAACCAGCAAACAATTATACAATTAAAAAAAATTCAATAAGCTCTTAATGTCCCAAAGACAACAAACAACAGCAAACCACCTAAAGAAGTAGGGCAAGATGGCCCCAGCAAGTCACCAAATTAAAAGAACTAGAAAACATCCCTGAGGGAGAAAAGGTAATGGAACTTCCTAATAAGGAATTCCAAAGACTTATGTATAGGATCCTCAAAGGAATCAAGGAAAACACATATAAAACAATGGAAAACACAGACAAAACCAAGGAAAGCACAGACAAAATGCTAGAAGAATTCAGGAAAACAATACAAGAACAAAATGACAAAACAGACAATTAGAAACCACACAAAAACAGCAACTAGAAATCCAGAAGCTTAGCAATAAAATTTCAGAAATAGACAACTGAGTGCAAAGTCACAGGAGCAGAATTGAAACAATGGAAAAAAGGATCAGTGGAGTAGAAAACAACTCCCTTAACACTAATCTGTTTAAGGAACAATCAAAAAAATGAATCAAGGAAAATGAAGAAAGCCTAAGAGTTATGTGGGACACCATCAAGAAGAATTACTTATGTGTGATCAGAATCCCAGAATGGGAGGAGTCAACGAAAAAGCCCAGAAAGAACTGTTGAAGATTTGCTGACAGAAAACCTCCCTAATATCATGAAAGACAAGAAGACAACCATCCAAGAAGTATAACGAACCCCATACAAGATAGATCTCAAAAGAAGAGCACCAAGAAATATCATAATCAAACTTTTCAAAACCAAAGACAAAGCAAGAATCCTCAAAGCAGCTCAGGAAAAATAAAAGATCACCAACAAAGGAGTATCAGTAAGACTAAATTCTGATTACTTGGCAGAAACCATGCAGACAAGAAGGCAATGGGATGATATACACAAAACCTTGAAAGAAAACACTGCCAATCAAGAATACTATATTCAACAAAATTATCCCTCAAATACGATGGCAAAATTAGAACATTTTGAGATAAAAAGAAATTAAGAGAATTTGTAAAAACCAGACCAACTTTACAAAAAATGTTACAGAGAGTCCTCTGGACAGAAAACTAACACCACAAGGCAACACCTTGAGATTAAAACATGTGACAACATCAGCCAGGTATCAATCCAGATTAAAAACTCTCAAAAATGAAATAAAACTAAGAGACAGGAAACTAGATATGTCAATCTGTAACTGACAACCACTTCAAAACACAAATGGGAAATAAAGGCTATAGGTTTAGAACTTCCATATGGAGAGGAAACCAAAGTGATATCAAGAATTAAATTACTGCTTTAAACTTAGTAATGTAAATTTCAGGGTAACCACAAAGAAAGTTAATAAGTCTGCTCATCAAAATATAAAACTAGAAAATCACAAAGACTGAGTCCACACAAAATCAACAATGAAGGAAATAAAAAGACAAATCACAATAAATAAGTAAAAACGCAGCACAGAAAATTAAGCGGAATGAAGAAACTTATCAACACCACCAAAAAAGTATAACAAAATGACAGCAATAAACTCATACCTATCGATAATCACACTGAATGTAAACAGCCTAAGTGCACCAGTAAAGAGAGGGAGAGTGGCAGAATGGGTAAAAAGAACATGACCCATCGATATGCTGTCTGCAAGAGACATACCTTGGACATAAAGACATAAATAAACTAAAACTTAAAGGAGGGAAAAAGAAATATCAAGCAAACAATATCCAAAAAAGAACAGGAGTGGCAAAATTAATCTCTGATAAAATAGACTTTCAGGCAAAATCCACCAAGAAAGACAAGGAAGGACATTATATAATGATTAAAGGGTCAATCCACCAAAGGGACATAACCATAATAAATATGTACGAACCCAATGACAGAGCTCCAAAACACATAAAATAAACTCTAACAGCAATGAAAAGAGAAATAGATACTTCCATAGTAATACTAGGAGACTTTAACATACCAGTCTCAATGAAGGACAGAAAAACTAGAAAGAAACTCAACAAAGACACCGAAGATCTAAATACTACAATCAACCAACTCAACCTCATAGACATATACAGAATACTTCACCCAACAGCGGCAAAATACACATTCTTCTCCAATGCTCATGGATCATTCTCCAGAACAGACCACACTTTAGGCTACAAAGCAAGCCTCAACAAATCCAAAAACATCGAAACAATAAAAAGGATGTTCTCTGATCACAACACTATAAAAG